ATAAAGATTTTACTTACTTACTTACGTGACCACGGAGACATCTTCGGACAGTGCTGGCTCTTTGGCTTTGAAACGGAGATGAGCACTGCCCCCTAGAGTCAGGAACAACTAGTACATATATGCGGGGGGAACCTTTACCTTTAGGCACATCCTACTGAGGCAGTAAAAAAAACCAGGTAACCATTAGAGGGCAGCCAAAAGTGATAGAAAACTGATTTTGTTTTGCGCTCATGCAATCTGCTTATTCCTTGCTCAGGAACAATTAGCACACATGTGCGAGGAGAACCTTTACCTTTAGCTTAAGGCTTGAGCATGGATATTGAGAAGAAATTCTGAATGCCTTTTTAAGGAAAATGATACAGAACAGAAAATGGGAAGAATAGAGAGTGAGTGCCTGGAAGATTTTATTGCACTTGTTAAGTGAATCACTGTAGTTTTTAAGTGGGTAACATGGTTGTTAAGTGAATCTGGTTTCCGCATTGAATTTGCTTGAGGTTGCAAGAGGGGATCAGATGTCCCTGGGACACTGCAACTGTCATAAATACGAGTCAGTTGCCAAGCATCTGAATTTTGATCATATGACCATGAGGATGCTGCAATGGTCACGAGTGTGAAAAAATGGACATAAGTCACTTTTTTCAGTACCGTTGTAACTGCACATGGTCACTCAATGGAACTGTTGCAAGTCAAGGACTACCTCCATTGTGACTGGAGTATGGCTCACACATTTGCAGGGTTGGGAATGTTTGCGTTATAAATATGCCTTGGAGGTCTTCTGCCAGTAATTCACTGGTGGAGCAACTTTTCTTTTTCATTTCTTTTTAGCGGCACATTCAGGAAAAGCTTCCTGCTTTTTCTTCTATAATATCTGGTATTTTAAGAACTGTCCTATTTGGAATAAATAGAAATATGCTCTGAACATGCAGAGGCATATATTTAATTACAACTGGGTAAACTGATAGTCAGTTCCATACACCTAGCCACCAGTTGAGACAGGTATTGTTCTTAGGAAAGTAAGAGATGAGAAGGCTTATTTGGTTTATGGATCTTGAAGAGCAATTATTGTGTAAGAGAGGCTCATGCAAACAAAAGACCCTGTGATATGAAAATTATGGAAGGTGTAAGCATGAAAAAAAAAAGATTTTACAATGGCTGAAGATATCTGACTCCATAATGCACTTAAAAGTTGTATGTTAATCTGGTACAGAGGATTTCTTGTCTAAAAAATGTCTTGTATGTTTTGTATAGGGATGCAGTGGCTCAGTGGCTAAGACGCTGAGATTGTCAATCACAAAGGTCAGCAGTTCGGCAGTTCAAATCTCTAGCACCGCGTAACAGACTGAGCTTCCGTTACTTGTCCCAGCTTCTGCCAACCTAGCAGTTCGAAAGCATGTAAAAATGAAAGTAGAAAAATAGGAGCCACCTTTGGTGGGAAGTTAACAGTGTTCCGTGCACCTTCAGCATCTAGTCATGCAGGTTACATGACAATGAAGATGTCTTCAGACAGTGCTGGCTCTTCACTTTGAAATGAAGATGAGCACCACCCCCTAGAGTCAGGAACGACTAGCACATATGTGCGAGGGGAACCTTTGCCTTATGTTTTGTATAGCAGGTTTGTCTAACATTTCTCCCTACTAACTAAAAGACTTCTGTCAGAAGCTTCTTATCTTTGAAGCTCTATACTATAATCATCAAAAAGTAACCTCTACATCTAAGGTATTAATTTTGATTTTATTACAGCAAATCACATGGCCGTGGGATTTTTTCCCCCCGAAATAACTCTGCAGCCTTATTGGAATAGGAGGTAAGTAATCAATGTTCTTCAGATTTCTACATTATATGAGTTTTAAAAACAAAGATCTCATCAGAACACCAAGAAATACCCTTTAAAGGTAAAACCCTTTTCTATAACTCAGTTCTTTAATGTAGATCTAGAAGATTTCAATAGCCAGGTTCATGAAAAAAAACAAAATTCTTCTCAGTTTTCCAGTTTGCCTACATTTTCAATGACCACAAATTTAACTGCATTTGACCAGTGTCCAATATAGCTGGGCTTCAATCTAGCTGAATCATTTATCAGATTTTGTCAGAACTCTGGCATCTAAGTTGGAACAGATGCTTTTGTAATTCTATCTACAAAAGAGGTGCAGCAAATTTATCACAGCAGGTTTACAACGGTTCTGTTTTTACACAGTGGAGCCACACCAAAGAACTTTTCACCCACTCCTCTCCAGGACAAATTCACCTTGATAATATTCAATTTTCTCTCTGCTTTTACTGTGTAGTGTCCTCTAGAAAATATGAGTCAACCATATACAAATTCTATATGCAACTTCAAATAACAACTTCAATTTAGTGAATTTCAGGCTACAGCAACGTATGGCACTTTTTCAAAACAAAACAAATAACTTCAGGATTATTCTCAGACAGCATGAATTTTTAAAAAATATTTGTTTTCAGAAACAAACTTGCAAGCATGACTTTCTCTTCAGCTGTTAGCACTAACAGCAGACCCATTATTGTCAAAAGATAGCATGTCAGTCAATTCACACATACTGGAATTTTGCTTTGTTTTGTTGTTGGAATTTCTAACACTTGCCACTACCTAAAGTTTTTTAAGGTTGAATTAAAGATGCATACACATCTGGAGGGCACAACATCGGAGAAGGTTGTTCTAAACAATGATGTTGTTGTTATTATGATTTGGCATTGTCAAAGATCTCCTGGCAAGGACTCACAAAACCTGCTGTCATATCCATCACTCAACAAAAGCTTGCAGAAATTCTTTTCAGGCTTCTGGAGGAAGTAATTTACTCATCCACAGATTAAAAAACTGGAAGTGCCAGCTTAACAAAACTTGACTCTTTCCCCCTCCTTCCTATTTCTTTCTTCTCAGGATGAAAATGCAGGTGGAAGACCAGAAAGCCTCACTTATGTTCATGGAAGCATGTAAAGTAGCACCAGAAAAAGAAAAAGGGTTGGGGCAGCTTCCCAAAAAACTCCATGATACAATATGTCAATGAGCCCACACACATTCTGTCATCTAGAGTTTTGTATTTTTTGGGAAAGGCTAATATTAATTTTGTATTTTTAATCTTTGCGAGCTTTGAATTGAATCTACCCAAACCTAAGTAGATAGGATTCATCTTCAAAAACTGTAAAAATGAGAAGTAAAGCAGACAATGGCATAGAATGGTGGAAGGCAGTTTTAGCTTTCTTAACTACTTAACTCAAGACATTGATCGACATGGTACACCTCGATCCACCAAGGCTGACAGACATCTGAGGACAGAAGAACAACCATAGCACAAGAGAAGAGAGCACTCTGCAAAGCTAGAGCTGCAAATGCTGCAACAATGGTGCCCACACATGTCTGCCCGACGTGTGGCAGAACATTTCGTGTCTGTATAGGCCCTGCCAGCCACCTGCGGACACATCGTGGACAACCCACAACCTGTTAGAAGTCAAGGTTCTCTTTGAACACGTTGGACAAACATCATCAACTCTAGACTAGAATCTGCTCCAAGACAAGCACTGTATTGGGGATTGGATAATTCAAATTACATAACACCTAATTTATGAGATGCAGCCTGACTTGACTCGGGATTCAGGATTATGATGACGATTAAACCACAACCATGATTTTATTTATTTATTTTCTATATTGATTCAATTTCCATAGCCTCCAAACTCAACCAATAGACTCTGGGTGGCTTAAAATTCTAAAATTATAAAACAAGTATAATATACTTGATATTTGATGCAAATCTTTTATTATTATTATTGCAGTCAGGGACTTTTTTCCTTTGGGGTTTTGTAAACATTATTTAAATCTGATTTTATTTGGATCAGAGTAAAACAGAATGATACCTATGTCTCCTTACAGAGCAGGCATGTAAACTGCTATTTCATTCAATGGAGCTTACTTCCTATTCTTGCTCCCCCACCATGTGATAAGCCATATGAATTGTATTTAAAGAATGGAAATAGAATGTCTACTATAGAGAGAGAGAAAACTTGTTTACATGAGCTCTTTTCTTGTATATAAACCTTTCATTTTAGCATAAATTGGATCCATTTGCATTGAGAGTCTATGTCTGCTGTACTTTTAACAATGCAGATTTAGCAATGTTGTACATTCATATGCTAATGTACAGATGGGTTGAGATTCAGATGCATTTCTTCCTGTCATGTGTTCTTTTTATTGTGTGATACCACTATTTTTTTTAAAAAAAAATACATTATTGAAAAAGTCTACATACTTGCTGAGTTGAAAAATACAGATTTGGAATTGGAAATGATTTCTCTCAAGAATCTTTTTGTTAANAAGTTACTTACTTCCGGGTTCGGCGACCAACCGGTTCGCAGGGACCGCCGCGAACCGGTTGAAACCCACCCCTGCTTTGCTCCATACCTATTAGGATCTTAAATGAAGTATGCTGGTCTCTGATTTAAACAAATTCAAAAACTCTCCTACAGGAGTTTTATTAGAGAGAGAGGATTTATCAATAAGTTTACTTGAAATGCCTTTAATTGTTGGAAACCTAATGTTTAATAAAAGTTCTTTGAATTAGGAAATCAAAATGTATTTGTTTATATCTTCATGTTTTAAATCATTCTTCCTCCAGTGAAAATTAATCTGGTTTAATTGTAGTTGGAACTAAATTAGGAAATGCAATATGATGCTAGTTTGCAAAGTAGACAAGTTATTTTGTAAATGTTATAGCTAATATATATTTAAACAACCACATTGACATTTTGGTCAATAATGTTTCTGTCCTCTTCATTTTTCTACTATTATTAAAAATTATGGGTTTGTCCCTTCTTCTAATAGTAAATGCATAGATAGCATTCAAATAGTGGTTATGAGAACTTTCTCACTGAAATTTCGATTCAGACATAAAATCCAGGCATAACATTATTACTGTGTATTATTTATTATATGGCATAGGAATAATTGTACTTTACAACCTTACAAATTATTTTTTTCTTGTTTATAGGTCTATTTCTTTCTTAAAGGAAAAATGCATAGACAAAAGTTTGAGTGGCAATATTTCATCTTTAGATTGCTGATACTTTTGATATATGTTGTAAGTAGATAAACATTTTTCTTACTATGCATTGTATGTTGTACTAGTAAATGTTCTTGCAGTCAGAAAACTAAGTAATTGGATAGTTGTTTTATGACCGCAAACCAGCATGTGAAGCACTATAAAGTTTGTTTGTATTGTTTGCTTACACTGCAGCAAAGGAATTACTCTTTTATAAATGTTGACTTACTGACCAGATGTCATTGTTTATTATATCAGATTAATCTGATCAATATTAAGTTGATTAACACAAGTTGACATTAACCTAAGGCTAGCTAAGTTAATATATATTTATTTTAGTGTAAAAACAATAAGAACAATGTCTATCCCCAGGTCCTTGGGAAGGACTTGACAGGTTGAAAAAATGCCAGCTCCAATCTAAACATCTGGCTGACTGTGACAAATAATAGTAATAATAATGTTACATCTGGCTGACTGTGCAACAAACCATAATAATGTTGCCCCGGAATATTTACAAAAAATACAATTTGCCTGCAAGTAAGTACTGATGGGACCACAAAATGACTAAGTAATAGAAAATGAAAAGGCTAAAGTATTCTGGGACATCAGAATTCAAACAGACCTGACACCCCAGACTTAACAGCTATTGATGAGAAAGACAAAAAAAAACATGGTAATAGTGAAAATAGCAGAAGAGAAAGAACTGAAGAAAATCACAAAATACAAAAATCTGCAAATAAAAGTAGAATTACTATGGTAAAAGAAAGCAAAGATATACGTACCAGTAGTAATATGTGACTTGGGTACAATCCCAAAACATCTAGAGCACAACTTCAATACCATTGCCATTGACAAAAATCACCATCAGTCAACTGTAAAAGGCAGTTTTCCTTGGAACAGCTTACATTCTGCAATAACAACTTTAATATCATCAAACAACAACATTTGCCTATCCCAGGTTCTTGGCAAGGACTGAATAGGTAGATAAAAATGCAAAATCCAGTCTAAACATCTGGCTGGCTGTGCGACCAACCATCATAATAATATAAGCATGGGTGATTTCCGTGTTGTCTAAAAATTGCAGATGCAAAGCAATCTGTACAAATCATTTGGAGGAGTGGTGCACAAATGAACTTCTTGCTGCGTCTTTTGAAGCCCCAATGTGGTTATTAAAATGGCAAAATTTCATCTCCACAATATACATATGAGATAGGTTGTCTTGAGATAACACAAGTAACCCAATGCACCAAGTCATCCTTGTGTGAGGATTTTAGCACAGGTCTCCCCTATTCAAGTTCATTATCTTAACTACTATATGTCTGTGGAGATTCTCAGCAATTCAGGTCATGGGTTGTCTCAAAGTGCTTTTTTCAAAAGGCAACTGGGCTTTTTTCCTTGAGGAAGAAGAATAAAACATTTTGCTTCCCTGCCATCGCAACCAATGAAGCTTTTTGGTTTTGTTCTTCCTCAAGGAAAAAACAGTCCAATTGCCTTTTGAAAAAGCACCTTTGAGACTTAACTACTATACAACACCCATTCTTGCAGTATAAACCTGGGGATTTTTTTTTGGGGGGGGGGGTTTCCCCAAAAACTCTTCTAGTTATATATGTTCCCGAACTTTGATTAGCAATTCCAAGAACATTTCTGTAGCTATGTATTTTCTTGGGAGCAAATTTTGAGTATGTATAGGACTGTATTCGTTTCTTTAACAATGTAATCTTAACTGCTTCTCTTTTGTTTGTAGTTAAATGTTATAATTTGTGAAACTGGAGAGTGTAGAGAGCAGGAGTACAGAGATCATGGTGGAAACTGTATATTGTGTGAACAGTGTGGCCCTGGAATGGAATTATCTAAGGTATATTCATATAAAATTATGAAAATTATTCTCTTGATTTTTCAAGTTTGATAATTACTAACTATATTTCTCCACTACATATAGCACTGAAAAAACATTTGTAAATTAACTTTTTTTGGAAATTGCAATATTATTTACTAGAGAGGTCTTTTCATAGTTTAAGGATTAAACATTCATTCTTTCATACATTTTATTTGTATGGCCACCCATCTCACTTAAGACAATGCAGGGTCACAGTGCAGGGTTATTGTGTTCATGGTGTCCCATAGAAATTATTGCACCCGTTGCTACATTTCCCATTAATTAAAGGCAGCCTCATTTAGTGTACATTGTAATAGATGAGACATGATTATGCTCCTGCTTCATTTAAGGCTGAAGCTCGACCAGCAGGCCATGATTTCTACTTGCCCATTGAGTAGTACCTAGCAATCCAGGAGGATCCCCAAGTCATGGTTCTTCTCCCCTAGCATCACTTCCTGAAAAGACAACATGTGAGAATCTCAGTGGACAAACAACAACTCTATTTTGCTTGAGTTTAGTTTCACTTGATTCGTCTCATTCAGATTCTAATTATCTTCAAATATTGATTCAAAACATTGACCACACTGTCAAATTGGTGATGCACATTCGGATGTGATCAGCAATTTGCCGATATTGCACCCCATACTGATAGATGCTTCTCCCACTGGCTTCATATAGAAGTTAAAAGGAACTGAGCCCTGTAGCACTTCACAAGTAACAACACCAGGCTGATCTTTCTCTGTAAAGAACTGTATCTGCCTATATGATAATTGCCTAACAATAGATTATTTTTAATTATTTTGCAAATTTATTTTCCCCTCTTGTAAACAGCTCTTTAGGAAGCACTTTTTAGAGGAACTGTAGAATTATCTCAGTATTTTGTAAAGTTTTCCCACATTTTTTTACTTGATAGAATTTTATGGTTCTATTATATTTTCTGATATTTTGTTTGGTAGGTACAATTTCATGTATTTTATGTGAGCCTCCATGTATTGCAGAATATGAGAGGGGGAAGGGGGAGAGAGACTTTGCATTATATTTAACATATAGCTTTTTCTATTGTTTATATAAAATAACAATTGTAAGCATTTTTGTTGATCATATACACCTTCAGCTTAGCTCGGCAAGTTTATATTAAAATTATTTTTTGGGTGTTCATATAATTGCTTGAAGGACTTCATAGGCTGGCTTTAAATTTTGACATTGTTGGCATAGTTTAAAGATGGATGTGCCATCAATTTTCATACATTTATAATAATGAAGCAGTGGGAATCCACTGAATCCTTTTTCATTCAACTGCTAGGGTTTCTGTGATAAAGTGGATAAATTAGTAAAGTAAAGGGGATTATTACCAATGGACAGCACTTTAGAAACTGCTGAAAAGACTATTTTATCTCTGGAAAGTTTTTATTTTCAGAAATAATTACCCTGAGACCTCATTTCATCTTTATTGCTTCCCATTATTCATGTCTCTTTGGAAGTGTCACAGTAGTTTTCGTTAATCCCACAGGAATGCGGTTTTGGATATGGAGAGGATGCCCAGTGCATGACATGCAGGCCAAACCGATTCAAAGAGGACTGGGGCTTTCAAAAATGCAAACAATGTTTGGACTGTGCTTCAGTAAATCGATTTCAGAAAAGCAATTGTTCTGCCATTAGCAATGCTGTTTGTGGAGACTGCTTGCCTGGGTAAGTTATAGAAGGAATGATGAAGGACTGTAAATAATTTGTATTCTCAGTTTTGGCTGGCTCTGCTACTTAAAGTTGTCAAATTGCTTCTGTACACTGCAGTGAAAACTTGCTTTCATGGTTTAAATTGAGAGGAGGGAATGTCTGTTGCTTCCAAATGTCCATTCAGTATAAATATCTATAATATTAATAGTAAATGCATTTATTTTTGTTAAAGAAATGATGCAGTTTACATCATTCTACAATTTTAATTATACAACTAATGTTAATTGATATGTTAAATTGTCCACTGGCCTGGGTATTAAGTCTATTACATCAAAGTCAGTCTGCTAGATTTTCCTTCTACCATGTCTTCCAGATACCTTGCTCTTAGGGTGTTCTGATGAAAAGTCATCTCACAATAGCAGAACTTCCTTTTCTTCAGAACTCCATTATGCAGTGCACATTGCTCAGATATGTATAAAGGAGAGATAGAGATACCATATTTTAGGTGGAGATGTGGAGGTCTTGAAAGTGGCCAAAGAAGAGTTGCTGACATAGCCCTCCCCTCCTGCTTGACCGCCCAATGATGAGTTGGAAATCTGGGGGGAAAAGGATTAATTTATGTTGGTTTCAGTGTGACAACTCTCAATATGATCCAAGAGTCTAATAAATTAATTTTGCAGATCACATGAAAAATTGCACTGGCATTCAAGCAAATGCAAGTGCAGTTCCCCATCAGATTTCCAATTGAACAGATGGAGGTGAAGGACAAAAAGTAGCAGTGAGTAACAACAAGCTATAGTAAAACAAATGATGACAAAATAAAAAAATTCACCAAATTCACCTCAGGATTTTAGACCAAAGGCTTGAACTTATAGGCTTTATGGGGGAAGTGAGCCTAGAAACCTGTTTTTTATTTTGCCCAGAATGCATTGGGTTGCAGTGATGAATTTCAATGTTATGCTTGCCAAAATTTGGCACAGTTTCCTGCCATTTTAGTTAGTTCTGTATAGTACTGTGCATTATTTTAAAAACAATCTTCATAAAACTTAAGAAAAAGCAAAATCTTGCCCATGCTTGTGCATTTCTCATTTTTGTTTTCATTTTATTGAGATTTATAGGCCGCCCTTTTCCCTGAGGGGACTCAGGGCGGCTTACAATCAAAAGGAAGGGGGTGCACGATCAAGACAAACAATATGTGAGCAAAATAAAGAAAATAATAAAAACACAACTTGCATTCAACAGTCAACACTCAGGCGGGTAAATTGGGAACCTAGCCCCAGACCTGATGGGAGAGCCAGGTCTTGAGGGCTGTGCGGAAGGTCTGGATGGTGGTGAGGGTGCGGATCTCAACGGGGAGGTCGTTCCACAGGGTCGGAGCTGCAACAGAAAAGGCTGATATGAATCTGCTTCTTTTTCATCATTGCTGTGCTCGCCGCTGCCCTCCTTTTTCTGTCCAATAAAACATTAAATTGTCCTAGCCCATCAGAAGAGTGTCACTACCTGAACCTCTTGCTTAATCACAGTTTATATGATCCCATCTTATTTCAATATCATTTTATTGATTTTATTAGCATAATTCTGTATGAAAAATATGATATTTTTCTTGTGTCTTCCAGATTTTATAGAAAGACAAAGCTTGGGGGTTTTCAAGATATGGAATGTATTCCTTGTGGTGATCCACCTCCTCCTTATGAACCACATTGTAAGTGCTTCTGATATTAAAATATTAGAACGTTCATGATGTAAACTGCATCTTCCTTGTTACTGTGACAATCTGGATGGCTTGGATTGCTATCACTAAGTAATACGGTCATATAATTTCACACTTTACCATTCCATCACTTGGCAACATCAATCCCAGTCCCCAATTGTTGTTATAGCTCCAGACTACCTGTATGTCCATAATTATTCTCTGGAGAGTTACAAAGAGTGTAATTCTGAAGAAGTTCCATATGTTTGTGGGCTTTGCGAAGCCCCCTTAAAAAAACAAAGTTGCCTATATTCTCTTGAGAAATAGATGAGGTGAGGTCTTTGCATGGTATGGCATGGTTTTCATGGTATGGCAACTCTTAAGTCATATTACTTTTAAGCATAATGTAATACTGTTACTATATCTGACAGTACTAGCCTGACTTGATAGGTACAGGAAGTACGTGCAAGAAATTATTTTTATGGAAAATGAAGGCAGCAAAATTGATGGATTCTACCCGGGCCTTTATTTAAAATGGGTCCCCAACTCTCAAGGTGCAGCTCACTATCGGGCCACGGCCCATTCAGAACCAGACAAGCACAAGCGGTAGGCGAGGGCACACATGTGAAACTCCATTTGTGCTTCGGAACTGAACAACATAAGGGGTGGCCGAATGCATCTGTGTGAGCGCAGCTCCCATTTGCGTGAGCAGCAGGTGCTCTCACTCACACCCGAAGCTCCATTTATGTGAGCAGTGGACATGCATGTACTCCATTTGCAAAAATGGAGCTGTATGTGCTTATGCATGCACTTGCCACTCACACAGAAGCATCCCCCCCCCCCCCCCCAGGCTGCTAAGCTGGAAAGCTGATTTAAAACATTGTAGTTAATAGTAAATAAGACCAGCCAATTTGACAGCATTGGTATGTGATAGGTTAGGGACTGGCAACCAGGATAATATATTTTCTGCCAATATAGTTTTTTGCTAAACAAAATGTGAGGAAGAGGTATATTAGTATTAATGAAATATATCATTAGACTCACAAAACCCAATTTTAGCAGAAATGCAGATTTTTCATTATTTAAAAAAATTGAAAGAGACATTTTAACAACCCTGTGAAGTCAGGAATATTGTGGAGAATAACATTGCTAATTGGAAAAGTAAAACAGTAGCTTTTCAAACTGAAGCATTTAATGAAAGATCCCTTATGGAGAACAACAATCAGAATTTAGTAATATGAAACCTGTTGCTGTTCTCATCAAGTCGAAATATGTTGTTTGAAGATTTCCCTACATCTGTAGATAATTATGTGTATTGGTGAATACTGATATTGAGCTGTTTATAATACTTTAATACTCGATAAATTGCTTCAAAATTAACCAATTTATTTCAGTTTTTTGAAACTTTAGTGTATTGTAAATAAAACTGGCACAATAATTATGTGGACAAAATTAGAAATGTTTAGTAAGCATGTTCAATTTCATAGAACTTCCCCAAAGTGTACGCTGATACCCTATATTACAGTGTGTTACTGTTTGCTCTTGAATGCTAAATTGGATCCACACAGCCTTCCCAGGCTAAAATCCTATGATCATATAATGTGATAGCAACATTAATAACGATCAGAGAATGTTGATAGCAGTTGATTATTACCTAGCTAGCTATAAATTTCAGGGCTGCTTTCATCTACTCTCCATCAGTAGATCTTTTAAAACAGAGTTATGGTTTAAATATTTACTCATGAAAAAACTCGTTGTGGATTGTAAAAAGGCCCTCAGAAAGTTAAAAGGACTTTCTGAAAGGAGAATAAAAGGCAAAAGAAGAGAAATCACTCTTGAGTAAACATTTATGATAAACACTGAATTCTGTAACATTCAGTAATAGCAAATAATGCGGTGACATATGTTGAAATGGAATCAAGAACAAATAAATTTGCAAAAAATAAAGGAAGCATTTCTGAATATTGTATATTATATTCTGCTAGATATAATATGCATAAAATGTACTGGATTTTCAAAAACTTGAAGGCCTGGAAAAAAGCACGTAAATATAATTTTAGTTAAAAATTTATAAATACATGCTGGTTGCCAAGCAGCCAAATTTAGATTATGTGATCATGGGGAAGATGCAACAATCGTGAGGATCATTGGTAAGTCACTTTTTTCCCAATGCTGTCATAACTGTAAATGGTTGCTAAAAGAATGATTGTAAATTGAGGACTACCTGTATATTTACCATTACCATTTCAGGAGAATAATAAGTGAACATGCAATTTACATCACTGCTAAGACTTTTTGTTTTTTAGTTTATCTGCCTCAACAAATTTGACAAGAAACTACAAAAACAGAAAATACTTTAAATCCTGAATCGGTAACTTTTTTTTTTTAAAAAAAGACCAAAACAACAACAAAAGGGAAACTAACTATAAATATCACATCTTCATCAAATGCCAAACTGGTTTCTAATTCTACATTTAAAAGAAACATGGTTCTCTAACATTATCAAACATCATAACATTTATGCCAGAGCAGAACATATTGAGTCATTTTTTTCATCATTAGATAAAGTAGCTAGATGAAATATGGATAACGTATTTCTACATTTGGTAGATGCACACGCCTAAAAACAGCCTTTCAAGAATGGAGTTGTTGTTTTAAATTAGGAGGATTCATAATAAGATTTAAAGTAACTTTCCATTTACATTTCATCTCAATAGTGATTTGTCGTCTTCATGTCCAGACAAACCAGGGTAATGCCTAGAGCATAACTAATGCTTTTGTCTGGTCAGAGCCAATAGGCAGAAAGTCGATTCAAGGGATATTAGAGATGAAATATTGCACTTGTATAATAAATACAAATTTATTAAAAACATAACTATTTTATTTCTGCTCTTTATAGCAGAGAATCTAAAACTGTGATATTGAAGGCATTCTTATATTTTAACTTCGCATATGGCTATAGAGGCAGATGCCAACTCAGTATACACTAGGATATTGATTAAATGAATTGAACTGCTTCCTTGCTGACCATAATTTGGCCCTTAAACGTTTGTTTAATAAATTCTGTTCCAGGATCCTCTTATGTTCCCTCTTTTCTGGTTTTATTTTTCAAGGAAATGGGATTGGAATAGTTATTTCATTTTTTTACCACAAATACTGATTGCAGTATATTATATGAAACAAAACAAGTTTCTAGACTTACTTAATGAACTGTGTCTCGGAATTGATTATACCAGCATTTCTTTAATGAAGTTCGGGTTCACCCTGGCTCATCAAAATTAGTTTGTTCTGTACAAAAAATGACATTTGGACATGTTCAGAAAAACTAACCTTTTAAAAGCTGCATTTTTTAATCTGTTGACTCCAGTAGTCAAAAATACTTTTTAGTAATCTTATTGTAACCAGGATCATAAATTGGAGATACCATCCTATTGCTAGCTAACTTAAGGGATATTTTTTAATCAATGTCTTCTTATAATTTATTTTAAAGTGCTTCTTGGTGGTTTTTCCTCTTTGACTGGGCCTCTTTTCTGAACAGACACCTAATGAATAAAAATCACAGTATATTATTCCATTACACAAATAAAGTATTTCGCATTTTTAGCATTTGTTTATCAACTCTAGAAAAGTTGGTGTAGAGAAAAAATAATGCCCTTTTTAATCAAGTCATAGGCTAAATCATTTTTATTATTATTTATGTTTTGAGTTTGCATTTGCTTTTTGTAAGTGTCTTGGAAATCACCAATCTCTGATCAGCTGTTCTGCAACTAACAGCATGGCAGTGGCAATAGAACTGGCAAAGCTGGTTCTTAAATATTTACCCACAAGCACTAGATAGTGCTTAGATGAATGTACATTTGGGATACAGATTATTTTCCATAAGGAATGCTATGGCTCAGAACTTAAGGATGCTGAGCTTGTCAGATGGAGAGTTGACAGAGGGGTTCGAGACCCGAGCTCTGCACAATGGGGTGAGGTCACATTACTTGCCCCAGCTCCTGCCCACCTAGAGCTTCAAAAGCATGCAAATGTGAGTACATTAATAGGTACTATTTCCATGCTCCTTTGATACATAGGTCACATGCAGGCAACGTGACCATGGAAATTATCTTTGAATAATGCTGGCTACCTTGTCCAAGAAACAGAGATGAACATAGTGTCCTAGAGTCGGATATGACTGGATAGGGAAACCTTTACCTTTAAGTTCCATGGGAATACCTACCTGTTCTTTTTTTCCTTTCTTCCTGCCTAGTTATGCCAAATGGTTATAGAGGAAGTATGTTTTGTGTAGGCTTCTTGAAAGATCATGGAGCTGCAGTTCCTTGTTAAAGAGAAAGGACAAGTTAAATAGGGATGTGGACATACTGTGAGATTTCTTATTCCTTACAGTTACCTGTTGCTCACACACTGGTACATCTGCTTTATTCCCTGGAAAGAGGAAAGAAAGTGTTAATTTCAGCCATGAGATTTGATAAAGTCGGTATTTCTCTTAACCAGTTTTTACACAAGTTAATACTAGAACCAGTCTTTCATCTTTTGAGTCAATCCCATAATTAGGATCCTTCTTTGCCAGGGGCTGAATGAGTGTTTATTTTACATATAGGATGTCTGCAAGATATTTAACTTAATCATTACTTTTTATTAACAAAGAAATAGCTGCTTAGTTATCAGATTTAAGTGAACTTGAAATTCCTGAGAGGGAATGATGTATGGGTAATAATTAACCTATACTGAATAGATTCTCTTATGTGTTTATTAAAACAGCTAACCCTTAAGGACAGTGAAAGTATTTACACCCGATATTAATTACTAACTAAACATTTGCCTACAGCTCATTAAACTACAAGATTACAGGAATGTGATCTGTACATACTTCAGTGGCCTTATTAGTTTTGTTCAGAATTTATTGACACACAAAATTTGTAGACAATGAAAATATACTTCAGTAATTCATTCTTGTTCCATTTGAGAACAAAATTCTACTTAAGATGTAAACAGTAAAGTAATTTAGG